GTGTCTAGTAGTAAGTTATACACGTGCACCAGTATGGGTTTTGCCTGGATCTGTCTTCTTCTGTTCATACAATTATGTTGGGAAGCACAGGGAAATGAAATTTTAAAAAGGATGAAAATAAATGGGTAGAAGTTCTAGTCTGTATTTTCTGTTCGTATGTGGGTTGTTTTGACCTTCCACTCCTCTTCCCTATAGGAACTACACTTAGGTTTAGGAGAGTAAATTGCAAATGCTCTCACTTTAATTGTTAGAGTCCTTTGTCTTTCTTCATATTGCTGCTAGAATTGTCCATATCTAAACGTCCACTTGTTTCCACACTTTTTGTTTGGTCGTTTGTGCAACCGTATTGGTTAGGGTTCTCGAGAGAAACAAAATATATACTGAGAATACGTATCTGACACAGAGAGAGACACTGAGATTTGTTTTAAGTAACTGACTTATTTGATTATAATCACATGGCCAGTCTGGAATCTGCAGGCAGACTGAAGATTGGAAACTCAGGTAGAATTTTTATGTTATAATCTGGAAGTACTGTTGCTTCTTCTTCAGGGGACCTCAGTCTTTGCTTGACAGGCTTTCGACTAATAGGATGAGGCCCACCATATCATCTGTAAAAAGTACTTTCACAGGGGCGCCTGGGTGGCTCCGTCAATTAAGCGTCTGACTGTTGATTTCAGCTCAGGTCATGATCTCATGGTTCGTGAGATGGAGCTACGCGTAGGGCTCTGTGCTGACAGCGTGGAGCCTGCTTGGAATTCTCTCTCTCTCTCGCTCTCACTCTCGTTCTCTTTTCTCTCTGCCTCTACCCCACTCATTCTCTCTCTCTCTCAAAATAAATACATAGGTGTTTAAAAAAAAAGGACCTTCACAGCAAAACGGCTGGACTGGTATTTGTCCAAAAAACCGAGCACCATAGCCACGCCATATTGACACATGAAATTAAGGAGCTTTTGTGGTACCCTCCTAGCTTATCTTCCAGTCTCCTATGTCCATCTTCCACTTCTTTTCCACCCTCCTTCTGTCAGGAGACCTTAGAAGGACAGACATCGGCATGGGAACATTTCATTCTAAGCAGCATAAGTAATAATAATCCTCACTGTGCTAATACATTCTTAGTGTTCCCCAAGATACAGTTAGGCTAAATTCGAAAGTTCTGTGCCACCGGAACCCCTATACCTTCCAGCCTTGTCTTTCCTGTCTTGGACAGACTTACGTACGCTCTAGCTACTCTCAGAGGTACTTTTAGTTCTTCCTGTGCACTGATAATTTCCTGTCTCTATGGCTTTGCTTTATGATACAGAAGCAAGACTAGTATAAAGCAAAATATAAGATGGTAGGAATCAGGAGGGGGCTGAGAGAGACAGAAGTCAATGTGAATAATTCAAGCTTTTGAGCTCTGCAAACACTTCATTAAGGTGGGGAGAGAGGAAACGGTGAAATAGATGGTGTTATGGGCTGAATTATTCCCCTCTCCCCCATTCATATGTTGAGGTCTTCAGGATGTGACCATATTTGGAGACACAATCTTTATAGAAGTAATTAGGCTAAGATGAGGTTGTTGGAGTGGGCCCTTAACCCGGTACGACTGGTGTCCTTATATAAGAAGAGGGAATTTGGATACAGACACACACAGGGGAAAGATGATGTGAGGACGCAGGGAGAAGGTGGCCATCTACAAGCCGAAGAAAGAGGCCTCAGAAGAAGCCAAGCCTGCTGACAGTGGTCTTGGACTGTCAGCCTCCAGAACTGTGAGAAGATAAATTTCTGTCGTTCTCATCACCCAGTCTCTGGTGCTTTGTTACGGGGCCCGAGCAAACTCCTTCAGGTGGAGTGAGGAGGGGCTCAGGGAGCACGGAGAGGGCTGAAGCGGAGAGGCGGCAGAAACGTGCAGTGTTACCTTAGTGGATCGTGCATCTGAGTTACTACTACTAGGTTACGGCCGATTTCCACAACGTGTTGGACCTCAGCCTGGTCCTTGAATTAACCGTGTTCAAATGGTGGGGAACAGAGGTCTTTCTTTAATGGTGTCTTACAGCGAGAGCAAGAGCCTCCAGGAGAAGAGGGTGCCCAGTTAGTACCAGAACAGAGCTTTGTTTTCCAAATCTTGGGTCCCTTGTTGATTGTGAAGGATGAATCTCTTCTGCCTCTCAACTGCCAAGTCGCAGGTGATTATTTAAGACCCAGACGGTAGAATGAACAACAGGTGGTAGAGATTCTCTGGCTGTTTCATTTTGTGTTATGTGCTAGTCACACAAGAGTCATAGTGAGCTTTCGTTATTATCCTTTTTTAGCTTGGATCGGCTGAGGTGACAGCATTTCCCTTAAAAAAAAAAAAAAAGACTTTGTCTTTTTAGAGCACTTTTAGATTTATAGGGAGACTATGGAGACATACAGAAAGTTCCCATATAACCCATACCCAGTCCCCCTGTTATTAACGTATTACCTTAGCATTTTACATTTCTTATGATTAGTGGACCAAAATGTATACATACGTAAGATTTTTTTATTTTTATTTTTACTTTTTAATTTTATTTTAGAGATTGAGAGAGAGAGTGAGCGAGTGGGGGAGAGGGAGAGAGAACCTTCTGTGCTAGTCACACAAGAGTCCTGGCGATTTTCCATTATCCACACTGAGTGCGGAGCCTGACGCGGGGCTCGAGCCCACGACCCTGGGATCATGACCTGAGCCGTAATCAAGAATCAGATGCTCAGCTGACTGAGCCACCCAGACACCCCTATACATTAAGTTTTAATTTTATTCCGTTTCCTTAGTTTTAAGCTATTTCTTTTCTGTGTCTCAGGAGCTCACCAGTGATACTGTGTTATTTGTAATTCCCGTGTCTTCTTGGGCTCCTTTTGTCTGCGACCTTTTCTCAGGCTTCCTTGGCTTTTGTTGACCTTGACGGTCTTGAGGAATACTGGTCAGGCGTTTTATAGAATGTCCCTCTACTGGGATTCGTCTGACGTTTTCTTCACGATTAGACTGGGGTTTCAGGTTGTTGGGAGGAAGACCATAGGGGTAAAATGTCGTTTTCACCGCATCCTGTCGAGGGTGCACGCTATCAACATGACTGATGACTGTCGATTCTGACCTTGCTCACCTGGCCCAGGTAGTGTCTGTCCCGTGTCTTCACAGTAAAGTTCCTCTCGGAAACCAAGTCACCGTGTGAAGCATATGCCTAAGGACTGGGGACCCTCGATTTCTTAAACACAAAATACCCTGGAGCAGTTTTTGAACGCAGGGTGTGAGTAACAATGTTGCTGAATTACAAGGAGTGGCAAAGCAAAACACAAAACCATGCTTTTTTTTTTTTTTTTTTGCTCCTTTTGTTTCAGAAAAAAAAATACTTTGTAATGTTGCTATGAGAAGTAAGAAAAATGTTGATTGGAACTTTGCAATTTGTTGAATAAAAATAGATTTCAACCTTGGGCCTTCTTTGTTTATCTAATTAAGGCGGTCAGTTCTTATCTGTATGCTGTATACTTATCTGTACCACGGGGACTCCCAGGCTATTGTTACAGCCAGAAAAGGAAAGATTAAAATTGGTCTGTCTTTCATTATTAATTGAAATGTTATAGAACATTGTTTTCTCAGAGGCAGTGCCTTGACAGTTACATTTATTGGGCAGTCACAGTCCATGTTGGTTTTTCAGAGCCTGTCCTAGCTTGGCCTTGAATGTGGTCTTTTTCTAGGTTACTGTTTCTATTACAGGCAGGGGATTTCATTTTCGCCCTCTAGTGGTCAGCTTTATCATCTCGAATTCTAGCTGGACAAATTCAGAGGTAGAAAAATCAAATTACTGACTATTCTCATGGTAATTTTCCCCTCACGTTTTAATACAGATGCTAAAATGACATGGTGATGAATTTTAGCTACGTATTTTTGGATTAGAACTAATATTTAAATGGGACAGTGTTTTAAAGTGGTAAGTAATTCTAACTTGATTAAAAGCTATAGTGATGAAAGATAGCATTCCAGGTGGTCGGTTTACCTAGCTGCTGCTTTACTAAGAACCTCAGTGGGCATTTGAATTTAACGAGGGAATGGAATCTGGCTTCTTGCAAGTGTTTTATCACTGCTGTAGGAGCAAGTGCATATTCTAGATAAACTTGAAAGCTACAAAGCTTCATGAAGCTAGGAGTGAGGGAGTCCTCTAGAGCACTGTTTGTCATTCCTTCACAGATAAAATTTTATCTCCGCTGCAGGAAATGGCCTTCTTTTAGAGCTCTACATCAACATTCATTATGTTACCGTGACTTTTAAGAAGATGCAGCATTATAGGGTGCTATCTCTGTTTATCCTTAAGAGAGTTGAAATAATTTACCAGAACTTGAGGCTGGCTTTGTCTTATTCTTGATGGAAATCGTGGGTGACACAGTATTTGATTTTGCAGGTACTAATCCCTGGAATGAGTTCTGGTGTTTGTGCCCAAACCCGAAGTTTTGTCCTGTTGAGAACTAGAGGGGGATGCCATTTAAGGAAAGGCAACTAACTCAGTGTGAAATCGGCCGCTCCCCTTAGATGCAGTCCTGATTATGATCAAAACGTAACTCAAGAGGCAATGATCCACTGAGCATTGCTTCTGTTCAGAAATAAGAAGCGGGGGGTGCCTGAGTGGCTCAGTCAGTTAAGCATCTGACTTCAACTCAGGTCACGATCTCGCGGTTCGTGAGTTCGAGCCCCGCATCGGGCTCTGTGCTGACAGCTCAGAGCCTGGAGCCTGCTTTGGATTCTGTGTCTCCCTCTCTCTCTGCTGCTCCTCTCTCTCTGCCTCTCAAAAATAAACAAACATTAAAAAAAAAAAAAAAAGAGGTAAGAAGGAAAGAATTCCTACAGAGCGCCTGAATTAAAGCAGTGGTCTGTTTGGGTCTGTTGGGTATACTTTTGTTTCATATGATACCATAGAGATGTAATAGATATAATTGAAGAGAAATGGATGTCTCCTTGTTCTCACTAGAAATACGTTAATGATGAGGTGACCTGTCTGTTGTTTACCCAGCTTCATCTGATCCACTGGAATGCCACCCTGTTTGGCAGTATTGATGAGGCCGTGGGGAAGCCACATGGAATTGCCATCATTGCTTTGTTCGTTCAGGTAAATGGTCTTTTGCTGTGACTGTTGGATTGTTCAGAGATGCTTATTTCTAATTCATTTGCAGAATGTTTTTTGTTCTTCCTCAATTTCGTTACTTATTAAACTCCTGTACAGAAAACACAGATAATTTAAAGTTGGAAAACTTGATTTTTCTGGCTCATGGGAGAGCAACCATATTCACTGGTAGAACGTGGTTCATTTAGTTAGTAGAACTGTTCTTCAAACTGGCCTTCAGCGTCTTTGGCAAAACGATGGAGAAAGTGTCTCCCGAAGGCAGAGTTCATTTTATTAATGAAAAAAAATGTTTTTAGAAAATGTTTTTAGACCCTGGCTTTCTGTAAAATTGAAGAAAAGTCAATAATATAATCACATAGTAGATTCTTTTAGCTCTTTATTGTGAATAATTTTCACTCCAAGAAGATTTGAAGCGTCTGATAGAAAACAGTGATAAAGTAAGATGTTGGTAGAAAAGATCTTGGTGGATATAGTCAATAAATAAATAAGTAAGTTTAGATTTGAGCTCTGTGGTGGGCAGAATAATAAATGAACACAATTTATTACATAAATTTTGTGAAACCTACAAAAAAACAGACCACATACTTTCAAAGGTAAAAATTTTAATCTAGTTCCTCCCGCGAATCTTTTTAACTTTGTCTTATCACCCCTTGGATGTCCTAAAAGGTTAAGAGGTGAAAGACATCCGGCTTTCCCCTTCCCCATCCTACAGAAGAGAGACCAAGGGCCAGAGAGGTCAGGCATTGTTTATAGTCACAGAGACTTAGTGTCACTGACAAGACCAGGAACCATTATCGCAAGTATACGTGGTTCCAAGCTGCCTCTTGGAGAATGTGAGACCAGAGCAGTAATATTAGCAAAGTGATCTTTAGTAACTTAATCTTCCAAAGAGAGTTGGGCCTTTGCAAACCTGCTTTTCTTGTGTGTGGTATAGATCTCTTTTCTTTTCTTCTTCATTTTTTTTTTTAAGTTTATTTATTTTGAGAGAGAAAATGGAGGAGGGGCAGAGAACGAGAGAGAGGGAGAAAGAGAGAGAAACCCAAGCATGCTCCACACTGTCAGCACAGAGCCCCACGTGGGGTTCAGTCCCACAGACCATGAGATCATGACCCAAGCCGAAATCCAGAGGTGGATGTTTTAACCAGCCGAGCCACCCAGGTGCCCCTGGGTGGTATATATTTCAATAGTATTATTATGTACAATAATTTTCCATTATAAATTTCTTTCTCGGATATTTTCCTATTGATGTTTGAAAGCAGCCATCTGGTTTTAGCCTGTTAATATTTTAAAATCAATATCTTGAAAGTATGACACATGTCCTAGAATTGAAAAACAAATTCTTACAGTTTTAAATGAACCTTCTTACTGTTTACTTCATGGGTCTTCTACAGGCAGGGCCCTATATTACTTCTGTTTTATGACTGCATTTTGTAAATGGAAGGAAATCGGGGCATTGGGATATCTGTAAAAATGTTTTTAATTATAAATACACATTTTGATAATCTTTAGTGTTCCTAAGTGTGCTAGCTATTGAAGTCTATTTTTTGAAACCTGAAAAAGTTAATAAAGCATCCAAATTTGAGATGTTGAGGCAAGAGAAGTAGAAGGCAATGTCTTATTAGTAAAAACTAAGAATAAAATAATAATAAAAATAATACAGATAACTGAGCACTCACAGAGAAGGGAAGTGACCGCATTAGATTCATCTCTGCAGTTGGTACCCAATAAATATTTGTGAGTGGAATTAGACGTGATAGTATTTTCACTTACTGATTCTCAGCATATTACACGTGACACGCAGTAAGAGAACACTAGGCGGAAAGCCAGGACTCTGGGGACCGGGCTTCGCTATTCTAGGAAGAAGCTCCTTGTTGTAAGCAAGGGGAAGCCTAAGAGAATGCACCCGTGTTCTCACTTTCCAAAGTTTGCTGTGAGGAAAAAATCAGATTATCTAGGAGACAGTAAAGGTACAGGCACTTTGAGAGCCAAATGTCATGAAGGAAAGAAGCACTGAGCAGGAGTGCCCACTGAAGCAGAAAGGAGAAGGACCGAAGTCCATCTGGGGGTCTCACACTTAGGCGAGAGGAGTGGAAAATGAGCGAGGAGGCCGCCAGAGACCGTGAGCATGGGCTTCCCGTTCAGGAGGCTTGGCTCAGGAAGAGAAAGGCAGATGGGGTAATAACTCGTGCTGCTGCACAGGGATGTTCTCTTTGTTTCATTTCGAGATCTGCGGTCTGCCTGCATTTTAATTTTGTGCAAAAAGCACCGGTGCAGATGCAGAGTTTAAAAATACTGGAAAGAAAAGGGCTACTTGATATAGACACGTCTGGGGGAGACAGGAGGCTGTAGGATGACGAGCTTTTGTGGGTAGACTAACCTTGGAAAGAAGGAGGGGCCGCCCTTTCTTCACGACACGGGGTCAGAAGAAAGACTGGGTAGAAATGGCATGAATTTGAAGGTGGAGGATGGCTGGAAGTTAGAGGAACTCATGCCTGATGGTCATAATCTCTGAGACGTACAAAGCAGCATTATTTATAAAGCAAGGGAAGCATTGGTGTGGGGTTGGGTTTAGAAATAGCCCAGGAGGAGATGATAATAGCCTTGACCGTCGGTCTGGGAGACCCACTTGGGAGCGGACATCCTAGATTGTACAGCACGACATATCGTGGATGGTCCTCTATCCAGGTAGAAGAGTAGAACATTCTAGCAAATTGTTTCATTGATCTGTTGCAGTGCAGATGATTTAGGAGGACGCAGGAAATTAGAGAGTTGGGGGTGGTTGAAGAGGGGTCTCCTTCAGTGTAGGCAGAAAGGGAAAGAGACAAAGCTAAGAGGCCCCTCAGAGTCTTGGCTCCTTAGATGAGTGCATGTGGAGAGAGAAAAAAGAGCGAGAGAGCTAGATGGCTGGGAAACTGTGGTGAGAGGGAATGGTCTTTGGAGCTGACGTGTTCAGAGTGAAAACAAATTCAGGGAGTGTTCTCGGGATGGGTGCTGAGGCGGAATGGTGCTAGAAACCACAGACGGCGGGGG